TCTAATGAACTTAGTTTTATGTTTATGTCTAGTTTTCCATTTCTCTAATGAACTTAGTTTTATGTTTATGTCTAGTTTTCCATTTCTCTAATGAACTTAGTTTTATGTTTATGTCTAGTTTTCCATTTCTCTAATGAACTTTAGTGCATTTTATGTTTATGTCTAGTTTTCCATTTCTCTAATGAACTTAGTTTTATGTTTATGTCTAGTTTTCCATTTCTCTAATGAACTTAGTTTTATGTTTATGTCTAGTTTTCCATTTCTCTGATGAACTTAGTTTTATGTTTATGTCTAGTTTTCCATTTCTCTAATGAACTTAGTGCATTTTATGTTTATGTCTAGTTTTCCATTTCTCTAATGAACTTAGTTTTATGTTTATGTCTAGTTTTCCATTTCTCTAATGAACTTAGTTTTATGTTTATGTCTAGTTTTCCATTTCTCTAATGAATTAAGTTTTATATTTATGTCTAGTTTTCCATTTCTCTAATGAACTTAGTTTTATGTTTATGTCTAGTTTTCCATTTCTCTAATGAACTTAGTTTTTTGTTTATGTCTAGTTTTCCATTTCTCTGATGAACTTAGTTTTATGTTTATGTCTAGTTTTCCATTTCTCTAATGAACTTAGTTTTATGTTTATGTCTAGTTTTCCATTTCTCTGATGAACTTAGTGCATTTTGTAGTACATTTGAAGTAGTAGATGTTTATGTCTAGTTTTCCATTTCTCTAATGAACTTAGTGCATTTTGTAGTACATTTGAAGTAGTAGATCATGTGTATAAAGCAGGCATGGCAGCTGACTATGAAATAGTGTTCGTGTAGTTTTTGTATGATTTGCAGAAAACATATCACCAACCCATGTGAGTATTCCCTTGTATGGTCAAACACCCCTCACTGACCCCTGTAAGCGTTCTACTGTGTGATCTGTAGAAATAGAATGGGATAGTAGAATCCTTGTCCCTTTCGTAAGCTCTGTGCTTACGAAAGCTGATATTTATGCTAATAATAA